TGTGTGTGTGTGGTGTGTGTGTGTGTGGTGTGTGTGTGTGTGGTGTGTGTGTGTGTGGTGTGTGTGTGTGTGTGTGGTGTGTGTGTGTGTGTGTGTGTGTGTGTGTGGTGTGTGTGTGTGTGGTGTGTGTGTGTGTGGTGTGTGTGTGTGTGTGTGTGTGTGTGTGTGTGTGTGGTGTGTGTGTGTGTGTGTGGTGTGTGTGTGTGTGTGTGTGTGTGTGTGGTGTGTGTGTGTGTGTGTGTGTGTGGTGTGTGTGTGTGTGTGTGTGTGTGTGTGGTGTGTGTGTGTGTGTGTGTGTGGTGTGTGTGTGTGTGTGTGTGTGGTGTGTGTGTGTGTGTGGTGTGTGTGTGTGTGTGTGTGTGTGTGGTGTGTGTGTGTGTGTGTGTGGTGTGTGTGTGTGTGTGTGTGTGTGTGTGTGTGTGGTGTGTGTGTGTGTGTGTGTGTGGTGTGTGTGTGTGTGTGGTGTGTGTGTGTGTGGTGTGTGTGTGTGTGGTGTGTGTGTGTGTGTGTGTGTGTGTGTGTGTGTGTGTGTGTGTGTGTGTGTGGTGTGTGTGTGTGTGTGGTGTGTGTGTGTGTGGTGTGTGTGTGTGTGTGTGTGTGTGATCACACGCACACTCACTCACATCTAAAAAGAAAAGTCTATGACCAATGGACAACAACCAAATTATTGGAGAGGAAACTAATAAGTGCCCAGAATGGGATGGAAAGGTTGATGCTGGGTATTAGACGTAGATCAGGGAACAGACAAAAATGGAATATATACTTGGGAGCATCAATAAGAAGAAATGGCAATGGGCAGGTCATATATGTCGGAAACAGAACGACATATGAACAAGGAAAGTAACAGACTGGGCTAAAGATAACAAAAAGAGGCCAAGGGCCAGACCAATGACAGACGGCGTGACAAAATAACGAAATTTAAGGGTCAAGACTGAGAGATTGAGAGAGGCCTCAGCCTGATGATGAGGTATGTATATGTATATATATATATATATATATATATATATATATATATATATATATATATATATATATATATGATACATCCTCCAATCAGATATAATCATGAACCGGATACTGGAGACTCGTTTGCAGTGACCCATTAAGATGTGAATCATTTTTTAAAGTGAAACAGACCGTCGTTGTGGAGACTACATGTAGTCGTGCAGCGAAGAGATTGATATCTCTCCATATCTTGATACACTTGTACCATGCACTAGACCTTAAAATACAATTTTTCCATCACTTCTGTGGCCATGAACTCTGTCAGCGATAAAAAAGAGCGATGGGTAAAACAGAATAAGAATAGAAAGGAAAATCCCAGATAAAAAAATCTTCGTCAGACTTTTTTTTTTTTTTTTTTTTGAATCGTATAATCATACTGTATAGTTTCTCTTTACACGTGGACTTATTTCATCATCCATACCGTTCTCAGGATTTGTCACAAAGCATTTTCTTCATCTACATTTGACATCTTTCTTCGTTCTCAGCTTGATTCCAAATATCCCTCTATATTTAAAAAAGGAGGGAATAAACACAGATATTTATAGATATATAAACATTACCACACTAACTGATGCGTCTGCCTTCGAAATGTGCAAATGATGATGCGCCAAAGGGGAAAAAACTCACCGTTTCCTCATCACGCTCACCTTGAATTCTATAACTGTGGTCGAGTTTTCCCTCTTGAGATACTCCAATTTCATAACAGATTTGTGTATTCTTTGCTCTGAAATCGTGTACGCGTGTGTGTGAGAGAGAGAGAGAGAAAAAAGAAAGAAAAGTAAAGCATATTTGTATAAAGCCATATGTTCAGTGTATATGTACACAATGCATTTGATTACTCAAGGAATAGCATAAACAATCTTCAATGCCGACGACACTGTTTACCGGAATCCTCCTCGCTGGCGGCAATCATCCGTAAATACGAGGCGTTAACCGTTAAATGTTCTCGCGTTGACCACAGTCTTGCGGTCTGTGGTTGCAGTGCTTGAAGCCCGAGGCGAGTGGGGAGACATCGTCAGGAGGAGCGTGATTTCCACAAACTATGACACAATGGGCTTGAAATCTTGGAAGGAAAGCGTGAATATTTTGGCAAATCATCGTAAAGGGTAGGAGAAGAGTGAAAGATGTATACTATTACATGATAAGCAAAAGAAAAGAGAAAGAGATAGATAGGTAGATAGATAGATAGTAATGATGATAGCGATAGTAATGGTAACAATAATGATGATAATAATGATAATCACAACAACAAAATGATGATAATGATAATCACAACAACAAAGTGATGATGATGATGATGATGATGATGAGGATGAGGATAACAATAAGGACAGCCATAACAATGAAAATAATAATAAGGTAACAACTTCCTTGCGAGACCTCAGGCAATAAGCCACAGAGACTCTTGTGGCCGAATATCTTTGGCTCAAGGCAAATGATCATGCACTGAAACCCCGCCCACAAAAGCACTCTTCATGCTCACCATATGGGCGGA